AGAGTACTGCAGGAGTGTGTAAAAGTGTGATACAGTGGTTATATTGATATGTTATATTGATATATCTAACCAGTACGTTTTGTTTTTGTTTTTGTTTTTTTTCAGCTGGAGTGACTGGCATTCTTCCCACAGAGATCTTCAATCAGGCGGCTCGGCCGGCAGCCTACATGATTGCTGGCTCCATGATGTGGCTCAACCTGTTCGTCGTTGGAATGATCTTCCCATTTTTAGTAGTCAGTCTGTTGCTACATCCACACTTTAGTCAGCGTCTGTCCATCTGTCCATGCATCCATCCAATTAGCAAACCTGCAGTGAGGAGAAATAAGCACAAGAATGGTGTTCATGTGCCAATAATATTATTACTAAGACAAGACTGGGGCACTGTATAAAGCGCTTTTCATGTTACCATGTTATTTATTAGTGGAGATGGCTAGATGGTACAAAGATAGGTTAGTTTTCAGTGTGGTGTTTGATATTTACTTGTCTCTCTGAATAGGGTCCCAGCTCTACCACTACAGAAAACAGAAAAGAAAAGAAAAGCTAGTGGGTCACATGGGTTTAGTCCATGTCGGAAAACCAAGATGCCAAATGAGACAGTAGCACTCCTCCAACCTTACAATTATATACCATTTGTGTTAAAATGCTGACTATTAGATAGCTTACCATCTTAATATTGGAGCTGGTAAGAACACAAATTTAGGAGCAGCATTTTTGGAGTTCAACCCACAATAGGGACTAACAGTCATGATGCATCAGTATATCAATATACAGGCCCTATAAGTGATGTACAAAAGAATCCTCTTTTAATATTTCTTTTAGTATATGGCTTAAAAAAATGTATAACTGCAAAATATCAAAATACAGCTTTCTAAGTGGATGGGTGTGAAAACTCATCCTCATCCTACTCCCACTACTCACTACTCCAGGGGTCTCAAAGTCCAGGCCTCGAGGGCCGGTGTCCTGCAGTTTGTAGATCTCACCCTGGGTCAACACACCTGAATCAAGTGATTAGTTCATTACCAGGGCTCTGGAGAACTTCAAGACATGTTGAGGAGGTCATTTATTCATTTACATCAGTTGTGTTGGATCAAGGACACATCTAAAACCTGGGGTGGCTGTAGCTCAGGTGGCAGAGCAGGTCAGCCACTGACCAGAAGGTCGGTGGTTCGATCCCGGGCTGCCTCCTGGCTGCATGACAAATATCCTTGGGCAAGATACTAACCCCGTGTTTGCCTACTGGTCGTGGTCAGAGGGCCCGGTGGCACCAGTGTCTGGCAGCCTCGCCTCTGTCAGTGCACCCCAGGGCAGCTGTGGCTACAATGTAGCTTGCCATCACCAGTGTGTGAAGGACTGAATGTAGTGTAAAGCGCTTTGGGGTCCTTAAGGACTGAGTAAAGCGCTATACAAATGCAGGCCATTTACCATTTTACCATTTAAAACCTGCAGGACTCCGGCCCTTGAGGCCTGGAGTTAAACACTCCTGACATAAGTGATTTGATGCCCTTCCTGATGTTGCCCCCTCTATTTTTTTTAAATAGTGAATGTACTTAGCTAAATACAGCTTGTTTCTCCCAATGATAACTTGAATACACAGAATTTTTAATGTAGTGTTTGATAAACGTATGACTGATAACATTTTGTTTTCCCTTCACAGAGCGGGCTGCGTGAGTACTGCTTTGTGCCTTTTGCAGCGATCTGCCTGTTGTCTGCACTGTATGTTGGCCTTTTTCTGCCTGAGACCAAGGGGAAGTCTCTGTCAGTCATCATGCGTGAATTTCACAGGCTCAATTTCAAAGGCCAGGAAAACCATTTTGAAGCTCAAACCAAACCTCAGTATCAGCTGGGCGAAGTGTGTCTTTCCACAGCCTTGTAGACAGACTTTTTCTCCAGAAACATGCAGTCACACCCAACGCATGCCTTACTTTGACCTGATCTGCATCAGCGGGAAGAAGTTTTGTGGTTTGGGAGCCGCTTTTCATATCTTTGAAAAACATTATCTGAAATGTTTTTCCTGTGAGGAAAATGGCAATTAAAAGAATTTATCTTTGACTTTTTCACATTATGCTTTATGTCACTGATTGATGTGAGACAACAAGTCATTGAAACTACTTTATATTAAGTGTACTGTAATAAGGTATAAATCATCTTTTCCACAGAAAGTTATATTTTTGTTATTAGACAGAGCTGGATACCTGACCTGATTCAGCAAATTTAAAAAATGCATTTTTATGATGTTTTGTTCTTTTATTATTATTAATAAATAACAACAGTCTATACGTTGAACTTTGTTAAAGACTACACAACACTTTATATTAAAGTGGCTCTCTTCAGAGACTAAAACGTGAGGCTGAAGATTAATGTCCAGTCTCAAATCAGAGTACAAAAGCAAAAAACCAGAAGAAATAAAGGCTATTCCAACTGACTTCCTGCTGATTTGAGTGTAATCTTACACACATTTTCACCAAAATGTTGCCAGAAATAGCTCTTAGATGGGATCTTTGTCATGCTGGTCAACATTGTGATCTATAACCATATTGAAAGATAGAGACATGAGCAAGGCAAGGACAGCAAAGTTTACCTGTCTAATGCTTTTCAACAACACAGTAGTTTAGAGCCTAACATGGTCCCTCTATGCTCTCCTATCAGTCTGCTCTTTCTCTACACACTTCCCAAGATCTTGGTTCTGAAATCATTACTACAGAATGATGGCAGCTTGTTTACAGCCGTGGTTGCCAAACCTTTGCCAAACCCATTCTTTCATCCACAAAACTGATGCCAGTCCAGCATGACAATGTTTAACAATCATCACTATCATTTAAAAAAGGATCCAAGACAAACCTTGCTGAAATAAGGATCAGCATTAGCACAAACAAACTCTCATAGATCATGTTGACCCTGTAGTTTCATTACATATTTTATCCTTAGTCTAATGTTTTTATTTTCCAACACTGTTTTCTGCATATACTCTATTGTATTTGTAGGCTGGATTGTCTTAATTAGCTACTGTAAACTTAACACTGGGGGAAAATAAATATTAAAGTAAACACATATGAAACCACTGATCACAACACATTTACAGCTCTGAGCTCGGACTGAAGTGGACTAAAGTTTGTGTTCGGGATAGACAATGTTTTGTTCTACTGTACACAGTCCAGTGTTATTATACTCAATAAAGAAACATAAATAATTTGAATAACAACAACAATAATCATCATCATCACCACCATCATCATAATACATTTATTACAGCAGCTGGTTATCGCGCACAGAAGACATGAGCAGCAAATATATTTTTATTTATTTTTTGATTTGTATGCGATGATTTATTTAACAAGATATGTGGTGACTGTTAATTGAAGCACAGTTTAAAGATCTACTAATTTATTGCTGAGATTTCATGACGTTCAGAGAACTGTGAAGCACATATTTTAAAAATGAGCAACATATTTTAAAGTTCGGTTCAGCAGTGACTTAACACTTTCATGCATGAATTATGACAACCTTGATCAGGATTTTTCTTAAGTATTTTTATTCATCTTTAGGCATTAAAAAAAGATTTTTGAACTTCATTTTTTGAAACATGTACTTTTAGTTTTTTACATGTCCACTTAGGTGGACAACATACCTTTTGAGTGGGTGGCAGGGTATGGAGTGACACATCAGTGTCCAATGTAGTGGTTTATGTGCAAGTACACCATCAGCACTGACACAAAAATAAGATTTTGCAAGAAAACAGCCATTGAAGAGCTGTCCAGTGTAGTGACCACTATGTGTGAAAGGGTTGAATATACTGATGCTCAAGCTGTTCAAGCTCTCAAGATCATGCATACCCATAAGGCCACTCAGCTAAACACTGACATCTTTCAAACCTTTCAGGTTTGCTTCCGTTTCATTGGTGTATCAGTCAATTTTATCTTCATCGGGCTGTCAATGAAAACAACATTTTGGAGACAGAAACATCAACACAAAAAAACAAGAAAAAGTTACAAGAATAACAAAAACACATCAGTTAAATCTTTTAAACGTGTAACGAGGGACTCCGTTTGCAGTGACATAACACGCCCATGCTGCACACACAGTCAATAATGGTGTTCTTTTTATCTGTGTATCAGAGCCGCATGATCTTAGCTCATTGTACTTTCTCATGTTTTTCTGTGTGCGTCACAGTTTAAAAACTAATTTCTAACCAGAAAACAGACTATACTGGCACAGCTGCAGTGATAGCAACTATGGGAATGTCATGTGCTGTGAAATTAATGTGTTTTATGAAACATGATTGATACAATCTCAAGGTCACAGAGTGTACAAATGTGAGTAAACTGGTCTTTGTTGCTTTATCTATCTATTCTAGCTCACTGTAAACCTATACAAATGCATTTAAGGACAAGATTTTACTATTAAAGTAAAAAACTATATGAAACATCCACTGCAGACCTGCAGTATCCTGCCAACAGATCAGAAGCGTTAATTTCTGTGAATGAGCTTTGTATAAAGAAATCAGCAAAACAGCATTGTCACATATTATTGGATTTTACTTTGATTTTAATAATTTGAGCACAATAAAGATTAAAAATTAGGTAAATAAAGACTGCATTACAGGCTGCATCTATTCAAAATTCACCAAAAAAAAAATACATTACATTTTGCAAATTGATTAAGAAAACAGAAAATAGCAGAACATGCTGCAAAATCAAAGCATCTGTAATTGTAATTGCAAAAACGTACACACAGTACAAATTGTTTTTGAAAGCTATTCTTAAATACAGTGTTTGAGTAAAAGTACAACATTTGTAAAAACATGCCGCAGAACTTCAAAAAATATTATGACATTTTAGTTTCATGTCTGTATCTACTAAATAAGACACAGCTGTAACAGCAGCAGGGAGTGACTGTTTGGCAACATGTACGTGTTTTTATTAATCACTGCAAAGCTTAAAGCATGCTTAGAATATGGGAGTCATTCATAATGATTAAATACAATTTATGGACATCTTCACTGCATGCCTGATGTCCACTTTGCATGTCAGCTGCAGTACTGGAGACTTTACCTGCTGTCACTGGTGCTGGGAATCGAGGGATGTTTTCAATATGGCATCCAACTGTCTCTCGTCGCTTCTCCGGCAGTGGTAAGATGCCTGTTAGTTACGCAGTATACACATAAAATATGTTCACACTCAGTATTATTGTATATCTCACTGTAATGAAGTTTGCTATGGTTAAAGATTATGTCCTCACAGTAGTGCTCTATTAAAGTCTTCACCAGCCAGTAAGCTCTTCAAACTTTTTGTCATGACATTTGATGGCACATAAAAGTTATTTGCCTCCAATGTGATATTCAGTAGAAAAGAGCCTGTGATTTGCTGATTTCTAGTCCCTGTTGACTGTAATTTACAATAACAGTAGTGATATTACTTACTCGCCATGCAGTTTGCTTTTAGCATCGGATTCTCATGAAACACGAAAGCCAGAAAGGAGAAAGAAGAAACATTTAAAAAGTGTTGCTGGTTAAGAAAATGTCACATAAGACTTTTTTAAAACTTATCTTATTTGTATACTAAATCATTTTTTAACTGAAATTTTTCAGAAAAACATGAGATTAAAAAAATGAAAAACAACACAAAGAAGCTTTTATTCAACAATCCATCCATCACCCATTTTTCTATTTACTTCACCACTTAATTGTTTGTGCATATGCAAGGAGCTGTTGGAAAACCTAAATGTGGTAAACATAAATATTCAAAGAAAGGGGGAAAAAATCTAAGTATAAAGCTGGTACCTACATTTCCATTAGTTCTTTTTTTTTTTTTTTGTGCGCACCAATAATTTATTGCACATGGGATAAATGTTTCCTAAACCCATGATGATGTGCATATAATTGATATTGCATAGACTTTGTTTCTAAATAACAACTGAACTGACCCCAATATAAAAGATATAAGACTAAAAATATCACCCAATGGGTTGATAACATATGTCAATATTAAAATGTGAAAATAAGAACAACCAAATTACAGATTGTCCAAATTGTTTTCTTTAAATTGCCTATTTTGTCAAGTTTGGCTGCTAAAGTTTGTCTATTTAACCTCGCTGACTTTTCTGCAGCACATTCAGAGTTTTGTGAACTACACATGGATGGTGAGGTACAAAACTCCAATCGACAAATCTACCAACCAGCTCATCTGGTCCTTCTTCGTGGCTGTTTTAAGTGTGCGATGCTGGGCTGGGGCTGTTCACAGTGGAAGCCTTCCTGTCACCTATGGCCGGTAATTGCATAAGCATTTGTTGTTTATTAACAGCAGGCACTGCCTTTCAGACACTCTGATCTCTCAGATATTAACAGGAGCCTGGAAAAGGCAAAAAACAGCAGGTCTGGCTCTGTGAAGCTGCAAACAAGCCATCGTGTCAGGCACAAATTCAATCTCTGTAAAACTTCAAAATTAGTTTCAGATTTTTGTGCAACCTATAAAATTTTTTATTAATAAATCCCCAGTGCTATCCACATCTAGCATCTCTGGACAAGTGCATTTAAAAAAAAAAAGATTAAATCCAAGATTATTCTTTGAACTGTCAGACACCTCACAGGTTGTGAGTACAACTGTAAAACTTCTAAAACGGCATGTGAAGTACTCATGAACAGATGAAATGTAGAAGGGGAAAAGATTTCCATGAAACTTACAACAATTAAAAACCTTTGAGCCCTGCTGTTTAACAACGCCGTGGCAATCATCGCTGCATTGCTCATGGTCTTCAGTCGCACAGCAAAGTCTTTTGAGATGATCTTGCTGGGAAGATTTCTCTATGGATATAATAATGGTTTGTTATGTCTATTTTTCATTTGATTACAATGCAGTTTTTCTTCCTCTTCATTCTTCATATGGTCTTTGTCCACAGGTCTCGGTCTGTGCGTTCACCTCATGTATCTCTGTGAGAGCTCTCCACAGAAACTCAGGGGTTTCTTGACTCTGACGAGCTCAATCTTCATTGGCTTGGGGAAAGTCATGGGTCAGATAATTGGCATCAAGTAAGAACTGACTGCTTGAACATTAAAGCAGAAGTTGACTAATAACTTTCACTACAATACAAATGATATTCATGTCAAATGGAGCAGAAAAACAACCTCTTACTCACTCACTCATTAAGAAGGCCACTTGTAGGTAGAGACATTTCTCTGGCACTTGCCCAGTTAGTTGTTATCTACCATAATCAATGACTTGTTCCAAATTAAAGTACAACACTTTCTGAAGCTTGAGGCACACGTCACATTTGAGACCTGGATAATATATTAGGCCAGGGATGTCAAACTCGTTTAACACTGAGGGCCTCATACAGCCCACTTTGATTGTATGTGTGTTGGACCAGTGAAACTCTGTGTCAATGTAAAGAAGATTAAATACATATTTAAAAAATAAAACAACAAAGAAGAGCAATTTCCACTGAAACATGTTATTGAAGTACACACTATCTGCATGGCTTAAATTGTCAGAAGTACATGTGTAAATTTACAGGAGTCTATAATTTGGTGATAGAGGATGTCTTTATCAGCAGGGAAAGCTGTAAAACTTATAAAAATACAGTGAAAAGTCCAAGATTTATGTCCTCCTTCACATTTTCCAAAGCCATCCAATGCACCACATTGGAATCTTGGCTATTTTTATTCTCCTCCATTATGTAAAATGCAAAAATGAACTGATACTGCCACTGTAAAGAAACAATTGTTTTCATTCGTCAGAACTTTTAATGTTGTAACTGACCACACTAGTAAACCTCAGTAAAGATCTATTCATTGGCAGACTGATGGAACAGACTTTGGATGTAATCCTTGTGGTATTTCTGTGTCCAACAGCTTTACAGTGGCTGTGGCAGGAGGACAACTTAAAGATGGAGTTGGACGACATGCAGTTGGAGCGGGAGAGGTCTCAGGGAGAAAAGGCAAAGACTGTGAAGGATCTGCTCACCTCTCGCTGTGTGCGATGGCAACTGCTGACTCTAGCCATCCCTTGTGCTGGCCTTCAGTTTTGCGGCATCAATGCTGTATGCTTATGTTTCTCTGCCGATATGACAGTTATCAACTTAAATCTGTTCGAAATCGCAGTTTCTAGTTCCCTTTCATCTGTCATCCTCTTGTTCAGCTGTGCTTCTACGCCTTTGACATCTTCCGTGAGTCTGGAGTGCCAGAGGACAAGATGCATTACTTGGCCATTGGTATTGGAGCAACAGAGCTCATCGCTATAACGTTGTGTGTAAGTAAAGTTGCATAAATTAGACTTTACATCTAAAAAGCTCTTGGTTATTGGGTGATTCTAAAAAATGTCTTTTAGTTTTACTTCTTGGGCACGATTCTGCACATTTTATCATTTACATAAATAATACAGAAGTAAAGACTGGGAAAGAGGAAAGAACATGCTCGATACGAAGATTTCATAAAAAATAATCAAACATGAAGAACATTGTTATCAGTTTTTGCTTATTTGCTGTGCATCAGTCCTTCTTGATCGATCGTGCTGGCAGAAAGAAATTTATGGGCTATGGCTATCTACTGATGGGTATCACCATGTGTGTTCTTACCGTCATGTTGTCAATCAAGGTAAATACATTCAGCACATTTCCTCTTCTTCTGTTGTATGTTAGAGGATTCATTCCATCAATCCAACTTTTACAGGATCTGAATTCATGGATCCCGTATGTGAACATCGCTCTGATCTTTTGTGTCATTTGCATTTATGAGCTTGGGCCTTGTGAGTTACTCCTTTTTTTTTTATTTTTACCCAACTCCTATATAAAAGATTTCTGCGCCCATACTTGACTGAGCTTCATATCTAAATAGCTTTTTAATGTTTGAATCTTCTTGCAGCTGGAGTGTCTATGGTTCTCCTTGCTGACCTCTTCCTACAAGTCTGGCGTCCTTCTGCTTATGTGGTTTGTGGGACCATCAACTGGCTCTGCATGTTTGTTATAGGGTTGTTGTTTGGCTATATTGTGGTAAGATAGCCACTGTAGATATACCATAATGTATCTCCATCTTTATATGTGTATTTACTCTATGCCACCCTGCTGTTTATCTAACAGTCTTTTTTGTGTGTATCCATACAGGATGGACTTGGACAATTCTGCTTCCTGATTTTTGTGGCTTACTCACTTGGTAGTGGAGCATTTATTATATATTTTGTCCCAGAGACCAAAGGAAAGACAATGGTAGAGATTATGGAGGACTTCAACAAACTGAATTACAAGAACAGGACAGGTGATATTGAAATCACTGATGTTGGTCTTGAAACTAAATTTTAACTTTTTTTCCCCTCATGTAAGTCACCTGTAAGTTTCCTTTATGCAACCAAGTGCAGTTATTGCTTTTAGCAAAATTCTGATAGATTACATATGCAAAGGGCTGATGTTACATTTGTAAATATGTACAATTAAAAATAAAACACATCTTTGATCCTGGTCTCTGCTTTTATAGTTATTCACATAAAACACCAGCAAATTATATACAGTATTAAGATTCATATAGTTTTTCATTCATTTAGTAGTTAGTTTTTCAATTTGAATACTTGTAACACAGCAATGTTTTGTGTGTTTTAATAAATTTGTAAATAAGTGAAATTATCCTTCTTTTGATGGTAAGAAAAACCACTGAACTTACCAAAATTCTTGAATTATTAGATGAAGAAAATCACCTGGCCCCTTGTCAGGTTCAGATTACTTAATGGTACCTGCAGAAAGATTCTGTCTGCAGTATAGGTGCGTTGCCCACCCTCACATGCAGTTTGACGACAAACTCCCACAACAAATGAACAGAATACAACATAACAAAGACATAAAGCTAATATTAGCATGTCAGCTGTTCTCTTATTAGCAAAGGGTCAACACATCAGGTAGATTGGCACGCTTAAGCTATAGCTATCAACTTTACAAATAAATAAATAAACAAAGGTGACAGTCATGCCAAATTATTATTGAATTTATAGGGGCAGTTCATCAGTCTACTTTGAAACAAGCTTCAAGCCCACTGTCTTCTAATTTACTTTGCCTCAACAGCAGCAGGCCTAAAGAACAACTAGGCAGGACCTCCCAGCTTAAGCTGCAGTGACATACATATCAAAGAGTTAAAAAAAATGTCTTAAACCAAGTGTTTACAATAGTCTAAATCCCTAAACTTGTGGTTTTACCGTTGTTCATTCTGCATGGCTTATTTGTGCATCTGCATTGTGTTTTAGTTTTAGTGTATTAATTTGTGCTCGTGATTCAGCCCTCTTACGCTTAAAATCTAAAAAGAGTAATGACACAAAGAGGAAGAACATATTCATACTCCATTTTCTTCTTTGAGGTCAAACATCCTTAATTAAAAAAACAAACAAACAAAAAAAACATGACATAAACCCACACTCCATAAATTCAGTAATTTGATTTAAAGTTTCCTAGCTGTAGCTTAAGGAAAACAATATAGATCGTTTAATTTTACCTTTCATTTCAGACCCATTTTAATTAAAGTTGTTTGTCTACTTTGTTAGATTAAAACACAGGACACTACATTATTACAGTTATTATCACGATCAAACAGAAGCTATGATGGTTCTCATTTTGTCAAAGAGTGGCACTGCGACAAAGTGGGTAATTGTTGGCACTAAAGTGATCATGTGGGTGAAATACTTCACAACAAACCAGGCGATTTAAGTGACCGTGAACACGCCACTGAGTATTTCAGAGAGATTTTCCTCACAACCACCTCTAGGGTTTTTTTTTTAGAGAATGGTGAAAAAAAAAAATCCAGTGAGCAGCAGTTCTCTGGGTGAAAATGCCAGAGGTTAGAGAAGAGCCAGACTGCTCCAAACTGATAGGAAGGCAACAGTAACTCAAACAACTGCTCATTACAAACAATGATCTCCACAAAAGCATCTCTAAATGCACACGAAAAACTGTAAGGAACTGGACTACAGCTGCAAAAGACCAAGTACGAGTAATAACAAGACAAAAGTTGGGGGGGGCTTAAGTTGCAATTTATTTGATGCTCACCTCTGTACCAAGACAAGAGATGAGACTCAATAACAGAGTACAAAAACAAATATCTATAGAAAAGTAAGCTTATATTGAAATATGTCCAAAGACGTTATAACAAAACATGTAGCTCACATGTTTTAAGAGCAATCGTGTACGATGATAAAATACCAAGTGAACATATTTTACATTTGTGTTTTTATACAAAAGTGTCAATGCGAGTCACTCTGTACAATAATTAACCTATAGAAAAGAGGACCTTTTTTTTTTTTAATCCACTGCTGTGCACAATCAGTATTTGGAAGGCACTTCGCAACAGACAAAAAGCACAAAGCAAAAACACCCAGGCCGAAATAATACGTCATGTTTTACACTGGAGTACCAACATAAATGAAACAAATTATACATCCCTGTGGGGGAGGAAAAAAAATCAAACCAACTACAAAAAAAGAAAGGTTGAATTACATCCTTACAGCATTTTACACTTGTCTTGAAATAATAATTATGACAACACAACCCTTATTACCTTTCAAAGAGTAAATACTAGTGCAGAGTGGATCAAAAAAGAAAAATCAAAAAAAGGTCAGCTGGCAGCCTGAGCGCTACCGGAGCAGAGTTATAGTACAGTGAGCAGTGAAACGACTACTGCCACCAACCAGTGATCGACAATCAGTCCCCACCTCGGCTCGCATGCCAGAACATGCAGTTTACCCTTCAAATGGCCATAACTTAACATCCCTCCACAAAACAGACAAGAAAAAAAAACAAACAAAACCAACGGTAAAAAAAAAAAAAAAAAAAATCTTTTTATGTACAGGACCACCACTAACAAACACTGATCATATTGGTTGGTTCTTTTATATATCTATATATATATATATTTATATATATTTATAGAGGTGTATATGGAAGGTATATACACTTGTTACAATCACAATATAACTATAAATAATAAGGGAATGTACTGAATTTAACAGACTCAATTACCCACAAATAATAATTAAGCAGAAAGCAGGAAACAGCTCAAACAGAAAGTCACACACAATTATACACTCTGTTTTTGTTAACAGAGAAACACACACACAGTTTGCTGCTGGACCCAGCTTGATTTGCATCATGATACACTTTTAAAGCACAAAAACAAAACACCAACCAATGAAAAATGAGGTCCACATGACACTAAATCATTAAATTTAGAGCATTAAAAAGAGCAGATCCCTTTCCACAAATGTTTCAGTGCCACCTGTCGGTGTTTTCTGATTCACCACCACTACAACAAAGAGGGATGAAAGAACATTGTGAAAAACTGGGATTTGTGTTTGTCGGTAATTTAATCAATAAAGTGAATTACATCTGCAGATACATGGGTTACTTTTTATATAAATTCAAAGCATCGGCTGGTTTCAGCTTCAAAACACCAATTCTTCGGGTCTTTAACCGTCAGCCACACCGAAGATGTTGCGTTGTGCTTCAAGACACTGTAAAAGAATTTTTTCCCCTACCCTTATAAGCACACATGAAAAGAAACAGCAGTGTTCAGAGGAATGTCTGTGAATAAACACAGTGAGACACCCAGACAGGTACTCTGTGACCATTGCGGCAAGCGCAGCACGCGGCGGCAACAACACAGCAATAGCAATCTAAGAGGAGGGAGAAGAGTAACAGGACACGAAACAATGACACATTAAAGAAAGCCAAATATGTTCTGCTGACTCACAGGTTGGTGGATCACATTGCAAATCTTTCCTCGAACCCTCTCGATGTCTGTTGCACAACACACACAAACAACAAACACGCATCTATATTTAATATAATTTAGAGTGAAAATAATCAAACTGAGCAAATCACAAGATTTTTGTTTTCACACAATGAAAGGGGGAAAAAAGAACTACACAAAATCAAGGGCATTAATAAGTTAATAAAATATAATCTACATTTCTCAAAATATATACCGAAAATATACCTGACCTTGGTCCCTGTTTCATTTACACAACTGATTTAACACCTAAAAAAAACAAGACTGGGAAACGCTGTCCATGTAGCAGGAAAACAAACCTCAACGCTAACAAGCTTATGACGATTCAAGACAGATTTTGCATCCAAATATGTTAAAAAGAAAAAGAAAAAAAAAATCTCATAGGAAAAGCATTCAGGTACACTGTGAAGATCACAACAATAAATGGCTTCCCTCTCCTTAAAGGAACATTTCACAAATAATTCAACTCAACACATAACAAAGGGCTTTTTAAGTGCTTCCTAACACCTACCAGTCCTACTCACTGGCATAAGAACTGACACTTGACACACTGGAAGCAAAAAAAAAAAAAGGAAAAGAAACAGCATGAAATGCACATCAAGCCTGTTATTAATATTTCTTCTTTAGCATTTAACAGATTAAAAAAAGCCCTGCTAGCAAACTTTAAGCCAAATTAAATCTCTTTACTTAAGAAAAAAAAAAAAAAGTCCTCTCTTAAAGGTAGTAAGTAAGGTAATGAATACAGAATTTAGCCCTCTTGTTGCTCTGAGGTAAAGACATCTGTTTAAAGACTTCAGGGGAGCGTAAGGATATAAAGCATTAAAAATTCACTGTGATGGCCATGGGTCTATTAACCAAGTACACCAGAGTAGGTGAAGTGAGCAAAAGGACAAAGATTACTTTACGTTTTAACGATGCAGTACAGAATTCATCTCAAACATGGGGATTTAACTGTGATTGGTAAATCACACATAAAAGCTGAAAGCCCTTTTCAGACGTGCGCTCCTTTGACTCAATGTCTTGGTCACTTTTCTTTAACAATTACCAAACTCGTTAGGTCAGACCTACAAGCGTTTATCCATCATGAATTCCACAAGAGAGACCTTGCTTCTAATAAGGAGTGTGGTTAATTACTCAATAACAGCAATACTTAATGCCACAAGCACAAAAATCTACTTACGGGAAACAGTGGGCTGAGTCTTTACACCAAATGGCTCTCTGTCATAGGAACATTAATGTTAAAGTGACCCATGTCTGAATTGTCTGATTGCCATCACTTTAACAAACTGATAAATATAATCAGGGTCTGAAAAGGGCTTTAAAGAAAACAGAACTTCGACACATCCCTAGCGATTAAAGGAAATAAAGCCTTCACGTAATTTCTTTATAAAGCAAAATGCCAGACACATACATAATCTGGAAAAGTAGAAAAGGTAGGAATTATATGGCAGTCTTTCACAAAAATATTGGATACACATTAACCAACATGACAAAAAAAAAAAAAAAGTAGTCTTGAGGCAAAGATATTCCCAAATACAGAGTATCTTCTGTGGGCAACCCAGCTTTGTCCTAAGAAAAAGTGGCTTTCCTGCAACTTGTAAAGCCTCAAGCAAAAAAGGTCACTTTCCTCCAAAATCAATTCCACTTTGACCCACCTCAGCGTCCACCAGTGAAGAGGCAAAAGCTGATTGAACTATCTGAAAGCCAAAGGACTCGAGCAGAGACATGTTTTGTTGAGGGGAGAAGGGAGACGTCAGGGAAGGGGCTATATCACTCAAGCTGGACCCCGAAACGCCCTGGACCTTCTGGGCTTTGTGAACTCTGTGCTGGTGCTTGTTGAGGTAGGACTTTGTGCGGAAAGCCTGACCACAGATCCCGCAGATAAATTTCTTCTCAGGGTCTGTCTTGGCTTTAGATGCCTCTGGAGAGACCAAAGCCCCCGCAGAGGCGCCATTGCAGGGCAAAGAGGGCATCTCGAGTTCTGGTCCGTTGGTTTTGTGTGGAGATTTAAGCTCTTCGCTGTTGGACAAATCCCCGAATGAAGGATCTGATTCTTCCGATTCCAGGTGAGGACATTTACCAGCGTTTTCCTGCCCGTCTGAGGTAGATACAGCATGGACATGAAGAGGGAGGTGAGGCAAAAGAAGGGGGGGGGGGGACAAATGGGAGAAAAAGAGAGGCATGAATTAGGCTTTAGGCTTTCTCAAAAAGCATCTTTAATCCATTTGTTGGCTGGCACCTGAAAAGAAATAAAATGTAAACTTCGGGGGTCACATGAGAAAGCACCAAGCACGGGCAGAACCAGTTACGATGACTGAAAGACATGAATAATTAAATACAGTTCTTTCCAAAATGTGGCTACAGCATTTAACTACACAGTCATCTAGCTCAGTCCATTTGCCCGGTGTCCACTGAGAATTCTGCTGTGCTCATCCAACCAATAGGCCATGCTAGCACCATGCCCCCACCCACCCTCCTGCTGGACTGTACTGACCTGTGACAGGCCCATGGACGGGGAAGCCAGGCACCCCGCCAGAGCGACACTCCCAGAAATATGGAGCCCCACCTGGCTTCCCCATGAGCAGCTCAGGCTGCAAGCAGAGGGTTGAATGGCCAGGCTGGGGAAGAACTGGGTGTCCAGAGAGCCCATGAAAGCGCCCCTCTGCCTCAGACGAGGTGAGAAGCAGCTGGCGACTGGCGCACAGGTCTACACAGCACCCAGCCAGGGAGAAAGGAAGGGGGAGGGACAGATATAACAGGCCGGTGGAAACCATACGGACAAAAATACCTTTACTTCATCACTAGTGTTAATGCTGTTTGTACACAGTATACTAGACATGTACAGTACTGAAAATGAGCCCATGCTGAGTGAGTCCCTTCACTAAAGCTGGCGTTGATGAATGAATTAACCTTTTCCTCAGCTCACAGTCAACAAACAATAAATCCCTGGCTGCCTGACTGCTTTCATCAAACTGTGCCATTTCATTATAATCCTTGCTGAAACTTGATTTGTTAAACACAGGTGCAATTAAAAAACTACACGGGATCCTTTGATTGCACATGCTGGCTCACTAAAGCAGCTAAAGAACGGAGCCAGCAATTAATGTCACCAGATGCATCTGCGAATCCAGCTGTATCTTGTCACAATGCCCCCCCAGGGAGAGAAGTGTAACGTTCACACGTCTCACTGGTCCTGTGACACGAAGTGAAGGTTACAGGTAAAAGAACAAAAAAGAAGTAGAGGGGGAAAAAAAAAAAGGGGGGGGGGGACGTGTGCTTGTCAGTGGTGTCGTAAATGTCTGTATAACCAGGGGCGCACATAAGTGGTCCGCAGGTGCACATTCGCTGTCAAAATAAAAGATGCACACAAGATAAACAGTAGCAACGCGCGTTTGCGCACATAACATTTTCTGGAGGACAGACATTTGTTTAGAACTCTTAAAGATGTCGAAGAAGCTCCTTTAAGCAATTACTTTGGTGTTCCTCCACCTCCAAAGAAATGTCAGAAGGAGTCCGAACCGCAAAAGAAGCACGTATTCTCGGAAAAGTGGTTGCAGGAGGTGAGCTGGCTTCAAACAAATGATGAACGCACAGAGCTCTAGCGGACAAAAACAGCGCCTTTTATAAGTACGCGAATGCGCGTTGCAACTTCTTATCTGGTGCGCAGCGAGTCTTTTATTTTGACAGCGAATGCGCACCTGCGGACCACTTATGTGCACCCCTGTGTGTAACTGTATTTCCCTGTATTTAAGTTTCACAGCCTTTTCTGCTGATGAAAACCTCCCGCATTCATTCTATACTGAAGTTGTGAAGAACTAGAGAAATTGAAAAGTTCATGTCTTCCTATTATGTATTATTGAAATTTCTAGGTTTTTTGTTTTGTTTAAAACAACAACAACAAAACCCAAAAAACCTTGTTTATAAATAAAGGACAGTCTGACCAAATACCTAACAGAACTTGTTCTTTAATTTTACACATTTAGCAAGTAGAAAAACTGAGACCTACAGTCGAAACTGCACTTCTCCATATTATATGTTAATATCTAATTGCTTAAATGTTTAAATGTCTTTACACCGACAGAAAGGAGAGTTTTGCTGGTCCAGTACACTTAAAGATCAAATTGGCTGTATGTGGTCTATGAGGTAAAACAAGTTTAACTTATCTGGTATAAACATGCTTTTTTGTGTCATTTCAACAGAAGCTCACTTTCCTTTATAAGGTTTAGAAGTTTAAAAAAAAGAAAGAAGACCAGCTATCCCCCAAACTAGATCCTGACCAATATTATCAGTTAATATTGTCCAATCACAGATATATAATCAATAACGGTGGGCAACTTTTCAGATATATATATATGGAAGGCTTCTTTTAATGAAATATAGTAAATATAGTGCTGCAAGTTTGTGACATATATTGCTGGAAAAAAAATTTAATTTTTTAAGTAAGAACATCATTTTCCCTTTTTAGTATCAGAGCTTAATATATAGTGTAGTAATAGTGCTTTCTAATAGCTCTTTGACTAAAAGGAATGCATTTTCTGAAAAGACAGTTTGAAGTTGCTATTATAATTGTGACTGCTGCACTTAATTTTACAAATGCCACATATAATTTCAAAGCATCCTGCAGTGGTTCTTGGGATTCTCATGCTTAATTTGCACCTGTGACAGGTAAGAGGTGTGAATTTTAGAACCCTGTTGATGTTTCCACTGACATATTATGTGTGGTTGTTAATGTAATCCATTATTTTAAAAGCCCAAGTCATTAAATTGTAAATCAACAGAAGACAGCATTTTCTTTGATATTACATTTAACCACTTGTGGGTTCGGTTCACAGTTTCTCCAACAGAAATGGCACAACTACGAAAATTTCAATGAATCCAGGGCAAATGGAGCACACGTTAGGACGATCATGCAACACTGTGCATAGCCCAACAACAGTTGATGAACCAGCCAAGCAGATACAGACACTGTTAACCATACGGCCATGGCCATGCTGGACAGACACACGCGTACAAATAAAAGAAATGTGAATTAGTATGCGACCTGCTAACATGGTTGAGAGTAAAAAAAAAATAAAAAAATAAAAAATGGTCAGCTTAAGAATTACAAAAAAAAAAAAAAAGGGATAGATCTTCAGTTATTCCAAGTGGCAACAGGAATATGTAGGCAGTTTTCAAAACAAAACAGGGTTTAAAAGAATAGTTGTATGTACACATCACATTAGAAATAAAACCTAAAGTTTGAGATGAGTCCAGGATGTTAAAAGATAAATTAGTTCTCCAACTACCAAACAGATTTAACGCTCTAGGGTGTGACAATAGTTTCCCGCAGCCCTACCACCCCGACCTTTGGCATGAGTCACGAAGCTGGCCTGAGCTCACTGGCATTTCCAGCTTTTTATGTAACACTGACCGCATGCCTAATTAACCTGGATATCATTAATAAAAAAATAAAAAAAATTGGTGCCACAGTTAGAGAATAATTACAGCAACTGTCGTCACAGAGACGTGCAATACTTGACAAATGAAGGTGCAATAGTAAATGTTTCAGCAAAAAGCTTGGAAGCAGGAGCTGATGTATGCGTGTGTTAACATATACAGAGATGCAGCAGCATGTTTCTCCCCCCCAAAGAAAATAAATAAATAAACGGCCGCAGAACAAATGAAAGCCAGTAACATGAAAGTTTGGGATGGGGCGGGCGGCTGCTTGCCTTCCACTGAGCACTGGCGTCCCATGTGGTAAGGGTTGCCGTTGTGCATCTGCAGTTCCCCCCTTGGCTCAGGGAAGGTGTGCATTGTGGCAGAGGGGGGCAGTGGAGAACCGTGGTGTGTCTTTATATGCACCTTAAGGTAGGATGCGGTGGAGAAACCTGGGACCAAAGGAACAAAGAAGAAGGAAGTTGCTTGACACACTGACATCCCCGCCTGTGAGAGAGGTGTCCTGAAACAAAGGCGTACTGTTCGAGTTTGCTCCCACTCCATGATTCATTTCTGGATGTGTGGTGAACTGAGAATTGTACTGCTCCACAATGTCAAACAACAGAGCTTCAAACAGTTTTTTTTGTATTGTCTGGACTTGTAAAAATAAAGACAACATAATAATACTACAGTTTTACTAAGCCCCTGGGAGGAGAAAGGGCTTTTCCCATGGATCAGTTCTTACAGATGGAATGACTCCTTTAAAAACACACTGAAATCAGTCTAAATATAATTAGATTTCTCCAATAAATTTTCAACAGTACTGAAGACACACGTCAGAACAGTAAATAATCAGGTCAGCCAGAGGAGTCCAACCTGCATGATCACTACTGGCCTGTTAGAGACTCTACTGAGTCTCACTCTCTGTAAAGGCCTAAAGATGCAAAAACCAGACACGTGAAGAAACCTTCAACATGTATGACTGAGACTGTAAGCACCATATGAAATTCAATGTTCAGACATGCAATTGCAAAAAACTAAAATCTGAACCCTCAGCAATTTCCAGGATACCTGAAATGACCGTCGTGACTTTAGTAGATCATTATAGCAACTTTTGCTGAACACCTGATCAGGACAAGGTTATGTTCAGAGTTTTGATTTAAAATCGACTGCAAGAGTAATTTTTTTGTCATTTCTTTTATTTAAGTGTGACACACGCACACCATCTGCTGAAGAACTGCATTTCATACATGCAACATGTTGAGCTGCACATGACTAATAACACTAAAGGAAGCCGTGAAGTTACAGCAACCCAAACTGTATGCGTCACCATTGTTGCAGGACTTTGCATGCATTCAGTTGGAGATGTCGAAAATGTGAAAACATGCCCTTTATGTTCGGTCCCCAACCAGCTGCCAAGTCAGTTTTACAATACTGGAACCGCAGCTAATAAAACAGACTGACCAGTTCACTAATTTAGTCACAGGCTCTTAATCACCAGGAATAATCGAGTGATAAAATCCACTTTGTTTTGATCTGGCCACATCTCGCATCAGGCTGTGAAAAAGTATGAGGCGTGAATGCACAGAGTAGTCTTTAATATTTAAGTGCGTCGAGCTTAGTTTCACACCAGTTCTGTGCTGCTGTCGCATTAGAAATGAACTGCGTCGCTGAGAGCACACGGAGCGCTTAAATAAGATCAAACAGATCACACATTTTTGGCAGCATTACCAAATTCCCTCATTTGCAGCAGAGTGGACTTCCAAACTTTTTTATATTCTTTATCACCCATTTATCTGACAGTGTCTTCGACTGATATGAAATGACGCATCAAACACCCTCTTATACGAGTGCACGGCCTGGAGCAGAAAGTTGGTCAGCACTGTTCTGAACCCCCCCCAAGTCTGAGATCAAGTTTTAGGTTTTTCAATCTAGCCAATGATAAGAAAAACTCGCTTACTTAACTGGAATTACAGTACGCACTTCTGGGCTGTGAGTGATTAATGAAGCCTCCCCAATATAGGATTTTTAGGACAGAGAGATATTTGGCGATTTAAAAATCTGATATTCCAATATGCTATTCCTTCTTTTTTTAGACAAACGGATTTTGCCCAACAGTTATAGTTGCTGCTGTTGTTATCAGGGAACATTCAGAGTAATGGAGGAACAACTGATGGACGTTTTTCCCCACTTGTCTTCTTATTTCCATTTATTCACCATTATAAATGCTGATACTGGCTGATAATATTGGACCACCAATAAATAAATTCAACTTCAACCCACAAGCTACAAGAGCAACCAACTAAAAAAAACAACTAAAATCTATCTTATATAATCAAAATCTTACTTTTAAATATCACAAGATCACAAGGCAGTACATCAACCATAACTCTAGACTCGTGTCTTATTTTTCCTAAAAGCACATTTACCAATATATCAAATAATATCAGTCTGTATATTGTGAACATCCAGGACGTCAGCACCCTCTGGATATTGATCAAGATAGGGGGTAGAAAGGTTTCAGATTTCGAACCCGAGAACAACGCTGTTTTGTTTTTTGAAGGAATTACCTTTGTTGCAAATGCCACAGTAGTTATGAGTTCCTTCACTGTGTTTCTTGAGATGGTCTGTCATGTAGGCAGCTCGCAGGAACTTGCCGCAAACTTTGCAGGGGATTTTGTCCTCGTGGCATGCAAGGTGAGAGCGGAGACGATCTCTTGTGGCAAAAGAGGCATTACAAATCTGAAAGACAGAAATCACTGAGCTAATGCCTCTCACAGTAGAAAAAAAAAGAAACTCATTAGATGTGGCTATTCACTAAGTAAGACAGACATATTGATCCTACCTGGCACTTGTGAGGTCTCTCTGTTGTGTGTACTTGTTTGATATGTCCATTCAGGTGGTCTGGTCTGAAAGAAAACAGTGCAAATTAAAGTCTGTGCATCATGAACTGATATGCCTGAAATCAGAACTCCCTGTTAACCTGTATGGAACTCTGTATATTAGTACTATATTAATTTCTCAATTGCATGAAAATCAATCACGAGAAGGAAGCTACTCAAATTAATTACATTCATGTCTCAGAGAGCTGTCCTCCCACAGTGTGCAAGCTGGCAACGAGGTACAGGTGAGCTGTATGACATTAATATAACAAAGGAGTCCTTAAGAGGCTCCTTTGTTTTAAAAACAAAATAATCAAATCAAGGCTGAAGGTAAAGCAGCCTTTTCCTCAAAAGAGGGTTTACTAATAACATTAACAGTGTCACTGTTCTATTGAGGGGCTCTAGGAAGCCAGACTGGTGACCCTGTATGCTCACCAATCTGAAGCCAAAGTAGCTTAAGAGAAAACATAAAAGTATGTCTTCACAAAGGCGGCCAGTAAGAACTCTTCAGTCATACCTGTGCTGAGACACACAAGATTTCTGGAAAATTTGTGGAGAAAAACAAACAAAAAAAAACTGCTGCTTTCTTCATCATGTCAGAAACATTAACCTCCAAAGCAGTAGGTGGAGGCAGTGAGCTAAAACCCAACCTTCAACTGGTTTGAGTATCTGAAAACAAAACATAGTGGTGATACTTTAACGATTACTTACACTGGTTATCCTGAATTTGACAGCTGTGGCAGGACGCATAGTGGGAGGTAAAGTAGTGATAATGTTATATGAAAGGTGCATGCATGGCTGCACGGCAGTAGTTAGAAACCATGGACAAGATCCTTAGCTGTTGGAAAGATGGTGGCGTCTGTGCATCTCTAAAAGCTGCTTTGACTGTTAAATATAGAAGCACTCACTTGATACCGTCACATAATGGACTAAATTACATGTGCTGATTTACACATGTACCTTTAATTATATTAAGGAACAACAAAGCACATTTCTGTCTGGGATGATCTGGAAATTTAGGGCATTAAGACCCAGTAACAGCACTGTGTGTGGTTTTTGTTTTGTTTTTTACAACTCCCAACAGATTCTGACCAATTATCATCATCATCATCATTATTTATACATCTCATTCAACTCACCTTGAAAACCCTTTACCGCAGCTTTGGCACACATAGGGTTTGCCAACTGAGCCGTCGTGGGAGCGCACATGGTACGACATCCTGTCCTTGCGTTTGAACCGGAGCCCGCACACATGGCAGGCGTATGGCTTCTCCCCGGAGTGGGAGAGCTTGTGTCGGTTCAGGTGGTACACGTCGCGGAAAACTTTCCCGCAAATGTCACAGCCGACGTGCCGCCTGGTCCTCTCTCTCTTGCGGCCGTTGTCCAAGGCGAGGCCTCCGTGTAACTGCACGCCGTTTTCCAGCAGCCCGGGCTGAGATAGAAGAGAAATTCCGGCCGGGGCTGACAGGCTGTCGCTGAGGTTGTTTACAGCCCCGCTGGAGGCTCCGTGCTGCGCTTCGTGGTTCTTCAAGCGGGAAGCCTCGGTGAAAGCTTTGCCACAGGTCCCACAGGGAAACAGTCCGTTGTCTTTCTGGGGGCTGTTGTTAAAGTGAACAGCCTCCACGGCTCCGCCAGCTTTCTTTGGTCTCCCCCTGCACCGTTTCGACCCCGGGGAGCCAGCGTCGTGAGGAAACGCGTTCCCCGTTATTTCCGCGGATGGGGAGACTGGCAGTCCCTCAACGGGCTCCAACATTGGCACCGACGACTCGCCGCCGTCCTCCAGAATCGCGGCCGCGTCTTCACCTCCGTCCACATGCATCTGCATGCTGTTAGCAAAGCTCTGACCGTTCACCAGCATTCCCGTTCCGTTTACCAGACCCTGGTGAGCCACCGGGAAACCGAGCTCCGTGGCCCCCGTGGCCTGGAATAGACTGGCATCTCCTCCCCGAGAGGTCGGGACGAGGATTTGTACGTTAGACTGTTTGATAACCTCCTGACATATCTCAATAACCGAGCGCATCAAAAGAAATTTGGCAGCTGTCATCAACTCCGGGAAACACTCCAGTCGGACCACGATCCTAGACGTGTACGCGAAGTCCAGGATGTCTTTAAAAACTTTCGGGCTGATCGTATGCATCTCCAGCTCCTTGGCGTCGCCGTCGCCCTCAGTCTGACGGCTGAAGACCGACTCGAAGTACTCGCTGCAGGCGGCTAATACTGCTTTATGGGCAGGGAAGCTTTCCTCGCCGACGCGCAGGATCACATCGCAGAACCTGCCTCCATCTTTCCTCTGAATGTTGAGGTTGTGTAGCATCTCCGCACTGTGCTTGCTCACCTGGTAGGTGTACGAAGAAGTCCAAGACGGCTCTGCTACTTTCTCCATGCCGAATTCATCCAATAACAATGGTTGTTGGCGACAAAGGTCGGAGAAATGGCAGATTATGCGTGAGGATTTCGATCAACCGAAAGCAGCTAGCTACAAAATCCAAAACCAGCCGCCCCTCCCGTCGTTTTAGCATCTAACGTTAAAGGCTAGCAGTAGCAGCAGCAGGGAAAAATGGCAGCCCCCCAGCTTCCTGTGAACTTTGACCCTGCTTTCTTCAGGGTGGGGGTCGCTCGCTTTGTAATAATAAAAAATATATATCGATGTCAGTGCTTTGACAGTGAATGTGTATTTTTTATTTTTCTCTGGTGGGATCGGCGCTGCAGCAGTACTCCGGCGCTGCAGAGGTCTTTCATTTCTTCATGCCTTGTGTTTGTACGCAGGTCTCTTCCTGCCTGCTGTCTGTGAAAACCCCTCCCCCAACCACAACCCCCTCCACCCGTCACTCTTTATGAGCGCTGTCTGTGAGCCTATTCAAAACACATGCAGAGCACAATGCACCAGTCACTTCAGGTAAGGGTCGAGCTGCACAAGGCAATACAACTGTACTTATTAAATATACATCTCCACTGATGAACTGTAGCAATAATTTGGCTGTTTACCAGTTTTAGAAATGGGGGGGGGGGGGGGGTAGTTATTATTCCTCAAGTGGAAAAAAAAAATCACTAAATTACCGAGGTTGTCCACTCATCTGCTGACACAGAACACTGCAGGCTATTTACCACAACTCACTGGGCGACTTCAATAGTTACACTTTGCTAGAACCAGATTGGACCCCTTTTACTTGTAGAATAGCCATAATCATTCATAACAGACTTCAACAAGGTGCAGGAAACAGATGTTGGGTCATCATGCACCACGTAGTTGCTGCAGATGGACATCCATGATGTTGGAGCTGGTGACTGGAGTCCACTAGAGTAACATGGCAGTGATTCTGGTGTCAAGTTTGAGAATGAGCTTTGTGTATATCATCCTGCTGGAAGCGGCCATCAGAGCACTGGCACACAGTGGTCTATAAAGGGATGGACATCAGGAAGAATACTTGTGTAAGAAGACCCAAGTAGATCAGCAGTTTCTGAAATGTTCAGTGCAGCCCATTTAGCATGACATGTTCAAAGTTCAACCCCAATCTGATGCTCCATTTAAACTTCAGGTGATCTTCTTGATTACATCTACATGTCCAAATTAGGGTGTTGCCATGTGATTGAAACCAGTATCTAATCAGACAGCAGCTGAATAAATGTACCTAATAAAATGTTTAAGTGTATATACCCACAAAGACTGAGTGCAACGATCAATCCACACACCACCACCTTAAATATTTCACAAGTACTCAGGATAAAATAAATTTAAAAAGCAACCTCAGTTTCTCATAATTAAAGATCAGATTTACACTGAACATTTAAGGAGATCTTGTAAATACAATCTTTTGCAATCTAAAGTTTACCTTTAAAAAGTTTAAACTTTGACCATTTTAGTAATTTCTAAACTAACAGTTTGTACTGAAAATGTGTTTGAATTACGAGTTCGTGACCCTTAGCCATGTTAAGGTGAACAAAAACAAACATCTCAGACCAGTGTGAAGTACTGCTTCTGAATTAGACTCATAATAAAACAATTATTTTCTGTTTCACAAAAGTACAAGTTACTGCAACCATGTGTCTTGTTAGTGTGGAAAGTTTTACAACTGAACTCTTAGTGGCAGGTGTAAGCATTCAACCACGTAAACATTTAATTGCATTAAAGAGGAAATACAAAATGTTTAATCAAGATTTTATTTATTAATTCTATTTGTGCTTTTTATAACTTAATAGCACACAAACTGAATCCCAACCACCCTCAAAAAGAAAAATGACTGCGAGCAGTGCTGCCCCCATTAGTGACCAGTAGGATTGGAGAGGATACAGTTCAAAAAAGAAAAAACCCACAAAGGCACAAACAGCTTGCTGCATCCCTCAGAGGCATCTTTAATGCTCCACTTCTAGGGGAAAGGGCCACTATCTATGCCATGAAAGGGAAGATGTATGCGCTAAAATTATGCCAACATTTTTCACCGTGTGACCCTCTCAGTACGATTCGGGTGATGCAAGATTATGTGGCTGCGACGCGACAAAGGAATGCTACTAGCTTTTGCTGACTTTGTCGCAGTTTTCAGTCGAACTGCAAGATTGGTACAGCTCCCCTTTACTAAGAAAAAGGGGGGGGGGTAACAAAACAAAACAAAAAAAAAAACAAAAAAACCACCTTATCTATATACACTGAGAATAAGATTTTTTCCCATGTCTGTACAATTGGGCCTATACATTATTTACGGTGCAGTCTCGTACAAAAAAAATATATTCACTCAGCTGGCAAAACGGATCTCCATCACTTGCCTCTTCAAAAGCAGTAACTTCAATACTGAAGTTAAAGCATGGTTTAGTTACATCATCCTGTTCTGTGCACTGTCTTTCAAATTAAAGTTCACATTTTCACAGTAAACAAGTGGAGATGGACAAAGAGGGGGGGGGAAGAAAGAAAAAAATTCCAGCACAGTGTTTATTTTCTTATGGCCGGAACTCTAATTCATCTACACTTATGACCTTGGCTGGCATAGAGGGGAGTGGCTGCTCTAGTACATCTGATCCAAACCACTTGGCGAGGCCTAGAGGGGGGCTGCCGCCGTGTCGCTGGGAGCCATTCGTCCGGTGGGGGCCTTGGCTCTGTGACTGAGTGCCAGGGACATTGGGATGTACTGCAAGACAAAAGTATTCAATCGACAAGTCTTCAAACAAGATAATTAAATACACCACATTTTAATAACATTTGTGAGGATAATTCTGCCATAGCCACATAGTCCCACTGAATTTGAATATTTGAAATTTTCCTCCACTCACTTGGTCGTTGCTGTTGTTGAAGTTGCTGTTGCATTGCTGCTAACTGCATTTGAGTACTGGCTCTGGAAGGTAGAAGTGGATGCCCAGTTGTACTTAGTGGGTACAGTGGTTGTCCAAGCAGGGCAGGAGGCAAGCCTTGAAGTTGTGCAAGGTCATGTGGCGGAAACATACCTTGAGAGTACAATTAAAGATCAGAAACAATTAGGTTTAATGTTCAGAACACTTTAATACAGTTTTTAGTGTTTTTATAAAGCAAAAGGATTTGAAAGAAAAAAAAAAGCCAGCAACCTGCTTGCACAAGAGCAGGTCCTAACTGCTGGGGCTGGATACCCTGTGCCAGCATACGTTGCACCACAGGGTGGAGCTGGGGAGGAGGGCGCACCATAGGTACGTGGGATAGCAGCGGTACTGGGTAGACAGGACGAGGGAAAGATGAGGATGGTCCTTGAGGTACCATGGCAGGTGGATGGTGTCCAGTAGAGCCAGGCCTGAGGCGCTCTTGTTCTTTGCTAGACAACGTCTGTGAGCTAGTCTTTACTCCCCCTGACTGAGCTACATTACCATCCACTGCTTCCAGGTATAGATTTGGGGAGCTGCTGCCTGTAATCATACAACCGAGATCTCAGTGTTACAGGGTATGTGTTCACTCACAGGTATGAAAGTGAAAGTTAAATATCAAACTAGTTCTGGGTACCGTATTTTTCGGCCCATAAGGCGCACCGGATTACTAAGCAAAACAAAACAGTCAGATAACTCAAATTTTACTCGACTCATTCTTCTTGCTTCCTCCACTTCTTTACCATTGATTCATCAATATTGACTTCTCTCGCAGCTGCTCCATTCCCATGTTGTTGCAGTATATTAATGACTAACCTCATAATGTGGATGGATTATCTCAGTTGTTCTGACAGAAATTTACAGCATCCTGCCATGCAATTGCATTTGTCCCCAACCATCAAGAACCCTCATGTTAACTTTTATTGAGTGGAAAAAAGTTAGCATTCATCCTCCAGCTTCACTGTGTTTATGTTATGCTAACATAGCTATGTCGCTAGCGATCATGTAGCACATCATATACCAGCTAGCCCAACTTCAGTAACCCTACAAATGCTACTGATGTTTAGTTTTCTGTCTTCATTTCAGTCAGAACATGGTACATCATGTTTGGGTGGAAACTAGCGAGCTAACTTCCTGCTAACTTCTAACTTTTAAATTTAATTAAAAAAAATTCTGTTTTCATGGATGCCTGGATGTTAAACTTAATTGTTACACCTGGTGAAGCAGCAACACTGATCATTTTACAAAAGGTGAAAGAACAGTTTTTAACTCTCAGTGATGCCGCAGAGTTTTGGACCTAAAGAGGACTTTGTTTTGGGCCCAGATTACTCCGTGAGGCTCCTGACTGGTAGCTGTAACGCTCCGACAATCCATCAAGCGGTCCGGCTTCGTAGCTTACCAAAGTCGTACTAAAACATTTGACAAATTTTTGTGCGCCGTATACCACATAAAATTGGTTCGAGGTAAGTAAGCACAACCAGCATTCATTCATAAAGTGCACTGGATTATATGTCGATTTTGAGAAAATTGAAGGATTTTAAGTGCGCCTTCTAGTCCGGAAAATACGGTAAATTAATACTGCACCATCGTGAGAATGTGCTGCTGAGTCGTCCTTTGTCTCTGAGCGATTTGAAGGTTCATCTTTGCTCTTCTCTTTTGTTGCGTACATTTTGCGGATCACAGATGTGGGTGTAAATGAAGGGGACAACTGACATAGGCAGGGGAGGAAGAAAAGAAAGAAGTTAATATTAGCAATAACAACAGGTGCATGAATTAGAAATAAGTCAAAACAACTTTAAAAACAACACTGGGAAGAAGTTTGCAGAGTTACGTTTATGCTTACCATACTGGTGACAGTACTTCCTGGAGAGTTTCTTCCAGCAGGCTGAGAGCCTGGTCCAGGGGAACGATTAAGACGCTGCGGTCTGGACAAAAACCAAAAACCAAACACACTCAGCCATACAAATTCCAACCAACATTATTTATCATCCTTGGAGGCATACATTATATTACCACATATTAAGCCAGTATATTCTTCAGCTTTGTTTAAAAAGAAAGTATTTGTTTTGTAAAAAGCAGTCAATAGACTTCAATAAGACACATTAAAGTGCATGTCACTCAATTTGCTGAAATTGACTGATATCATAACCATTTAAAGTCTCTATACTATGTGGTATTTAAACACGATTAAAGCCAAAACAAACCTATTTCGGAAAGACTTGTCTTGTGGTTGTTTGTAGCCAGATTGGAATTGGTGGTGGGCATGGAGAGCAAGATCCTGCTGGAATGCCAGTGCTTCCAAGTCTGCTTGGTTAATAGGAATAGAGAGCGCCCTCATCTGGAAAGACAAGGTAGACCCAACCCAACTCATCAAAAGTCAAAGTTTTAGCTCAAAGGCCTATAAATGTAATTTTTACTCCATGATGCTACTACTATCAATATGACTGTTACAAGAAACATGTATCACAACATATACAT